GGACCTCGGTTGCCTTGGGAATGTGAATCTGCAAGTTCCTTTGAGAGACGGAGCATACTAAGTCAGGATGCAGGGATAGCTGAAAAGGTGGACATTTGGACTTTCCCCAGCTCTTCTCTACTTATGAGCCCGATGCATAATTGGTAGACTGAAGAAGAGGGAGCAGGGAAAGAAAAAGAGACAGGGCAGACGCTTCCAGACCAACTTCTCAGAAAGTGTGGCTTGACCTTGGGATTCTCCCCTCTCAAAGTTGGACCACCTAGACCTCCCTTCAGCCAAAACAGATGTATCACAGACCCAGCTAAGGTCATTCGTGCATGAGTTCATTAACCATTTATTAGATCCCTAACACATGCCTTGCAATAAAGCACTCACCACCATCTTGCTAAGAAGGGTCTAGTTGAAATAGGTACATTGAGCATACAAATAATAGGGGAAACATCACTAAGAGGTGTGGTTGGAGCACACTTCTGCCTCAAATAGTGGCTTAGAAATTGACAAGGCCAAAGTGCATCCAGGAAAGAGACCTACATGTACAAAGACATGGAGGCTTGACAGTGGCTAGAGCCCATGGGACATACGGGGTTATAATGGACAGTGAGACTGGAGATTAGGTGGAGCTTAAACTGTGGAGGGCCTGGGTGACAGAATACAGGGTTTGAACTTTGTCAAAAAGCATTGTGGAGCTAAAGAAGGTCCTTGAGTCAGATGTGGTCTGACCTATGTGTTGTAAAAGTCTCTCTTGATGTGAACAGGGAGAACCCAAGAGAAAAGATTAAATACTAAAAGAGCAGGCTTCAGGCTAACGCATGAACTCACAGTCCATCTACTGAGCTGTAGGCAGGGCTCCGTTTAATACTAAGACCCCTGACAGAATTTTAAAATATCTTTATCAGTGGTTTCCCTCCCCTGACCCCTCAACTTGCTTTTGGATTAACACTCTAACACCATTTTCTGGGAAATAAATGATGGCCCCAGTGAAGATTAACACTGGGACCCTTGTTGGCTGAAAGACAAACTCAGAGCCTGACTCCACCACAGCTGCAGGACCATGCAGGACACCATAAGGAGGCTTACGTGCAGGGCAGGCAGCAAGACCTCTTGAAGGGGCCTGTTGTCTGAGCCTCGCCTACAGCTGAAGAGATAAGAACCTACAACTGTGGCCACAGGAAATGACAAAGCAATGACTGATTGGGGAGTCGAAGCACAGGGCTCATTATGGCGCTTGCCAGCGGGCGAGACACCCTTATCAGGGAGAAAATTGCATCAGGCCTCCTGAATTACTAGCGATTGGAAGCAGATTTCTTGGGACGCACTTTGTTAGATACCTAATGAGCGGGATACAGGAGAGCAGAGCCTAAAGCCGGCGGGGCGGGGGACAAATGTCTTTGTTAAACAGAATTTGTCAGTTTCCGCTCCAGGCTCCCTGGGGAGGGTTCAGGGCCAGCTAATTGAATTAAGAGCATGTGCTCTCCAGCTAGAAGGCTCAGGGCGGGGAGAGAGGCAGGCAGGCAGGCAGGCTGGCCGGAAGGCGGGCATTTTCAGCACCGAGGACAGCAGCTGCAGCCTGGCTACTCGGTAATTGCCAGGGCAGGCTGGAGCTATTGCATTTTGCATGATCAGGGATCTAGGGGTTGAAGGGGTAGGAGGGAAGCAGAGGACGTTGGGTGGAGGAGGAGACAGATGACCTAAGAAACTGCAATCCTGGGATGCTATTGGCCTGCTCTGTCTCAACAGACCTGGCTCTGCTGGCAACAGTGAGGGCTAGAAGGCTTGAAGAGGGGACATCTTCTCCCCACCATGGTGCTCACATGTGCTGTGGGCAGCTGCAGCAGTGTGTGCTGGACGCAGAGTCTGAGCAAGCGCATGGCCCGTGCATTGCTTTGAGCTTTCAAAGTCAGTCTCCAATTATATTGCTAATGAAGCAGGATGTGCTGCATCCATGCAGCTACAGAGCAGAGCGAGGGGCCACTTGTCAGCCTCAAGCTGCCCCAGAAGGAGGGGCAGGAGCTGCCAACTAGAAGAGCAAATAAACAGGCTTGTGGGGGTGGGCCAGCAACCTGCTTGCAAGGCCAGGCCTGAATAGGGAGGAATTTCATCCCTCAGCCATCATCCTCTCCCTACCCCCCAGCAGCCCTGTGATCTCGGATAAGCTCCCTTTCAGGAGGAACAAGAAGGTGAGGACACAATTCTCTCTCCAAAATATGGGCAGACTGAAGCTCAGGAGTCAGGAGAGGCAGTGCTGGCCATAAACAAAGGAAACTATTAGGAAAATCTAGGCACGGTGGTCCTCTGGGTGCCCTGTACCTCACATGAAAGACCTCTGGCCTCCCCTGCTGGGCCTGTGTCTCTGGAGGTCTAAAGATGTTTCTATATGTCACCCACTCACTCTGCCAGAATGGATCCTGGCAAAGTTGAATGGGACCAAGGGTTGAACGTGTGCACAGAAGACTTGCAGGTTGGGTAGTACCAGCAGGAGGCAGCTGTGTGGACAGACAAGGTCCATGCCAGCTGTGAGGGAGAGCAGAGCAGAGTGGAACCCTGGAGTCGGCAGAGACTACAGGAAGGGCAACTGCGGGTGGAATGGGCAGAAGACATAAAACCCATTGACACTCTGCCTTCCCCTCACAACACTCCCTGCCCACCCAACTGATGGGGAGAAGGCACTGGCCTGGATTAAGGGGTTAGACTCATTTTGAATTTATCTTTGTGATGAAATTAAATGAACAAAACATAGTAAACATCAGAATCCACATAAATATACCTGGTGAGTGCTTGGCTCTAATGGGGTCGCTGAGTTGACCCAGCTAGTACTGGGGCCACACAGGGTGGACAGCAAGGAGACAAGCTGTGGGGGAGGGGACTTCCTCAGCAATTGTCCCTTGCTTTCAGTAATGATGGGGGCACCTCTGGAGACCTCTCTTGATTTCATTACTTCTACTTCCTCCCCTAACTGGATTAGATGACAGTCTATGAAATCCCAGGCATTGAAATTGGCTTTCTGCCTGGAAATGAGAAGAAATATCATTACAGGTCCTGAATCAGCATATCAAGTCCCAGGGGCTACCTGGTCAGTGGGGAGGTGGTCTTTGCCATGGTTAGTCATTCTTTTCCTTCATTCTTCCATTCATCCATCCATCCAATATGTGTTTCATAGCTTCTCTCTGCAGCCAACTGGTATTCAGCAGTTCTGAATAGGGGAGAGGGTGCTTTTTTCTATTTAAAACACACAGACAACCAGAAAGTCCCAAATCATCCAACTCAGATGCTACTTTGGTTATATTCATGCGATAGTTTCTGAAGCAGGTAGGGGAGACAGCCGGGGCTGATGCTCATGGTCAAAACAGGCCCGGGAGTCCTCGTTAGAACATGCAATAGGTCATGTGCCAAAGTCAGCCTCAGGGCCACCCAATGCCTCCCTCTTCCCATTCCAAGAGTCTTTATATAGCTGCTCTATCTTTGGGATGGTCTATTTTTTGAATCCATTTGTTAGGGAAGGAATTGGAGCCTGGAATGGACTGGATGAATGTGGACCTATATGAATGTTCCTAACTCCACTGACCCAAATCAAAAAGGTTTCATGCAAATACATTTCTACACACCAAATTTTATAGCACATCAAGGAATAGTGTAAAGGATCTCAGTGGCCAAGTAAAGAGTCCTTGTCCCAACTCATCTAGTCCCTATATGTGGACCTTTGTATAGAGTATCCACTTAAAGAGAGAGCCACCCCTCTCATTCTCACTCTAGTGTTCCGGGTCAAGCACTGGGGATCCTCCCACCCTGAGCACCTGTGTCTTGGTTGGCATTGTGCTCATTTCTCTATTTGCTTCTCACACAACATTAGATAATAGAACAATGAGTCTGCCATGTAACTAAGGATCCCAACAGCTGATGTGGGGTGGGACTAGGTTACCTTTGAGGCTGCTACAAACCTTAAGACTGCATGATTCTTAGAATAGGCAGAGTTGAGAACTAACCCCAGATTTCAAACAAGCTTTACAGTAACTGATCCCCAAAGGGAGCACAGACATGTCCCTAAGCCTAAGGAACTTAAAGTTTCATTGGGAAACCAAAAATAGCAAGCAAACCTGGAACTAGAGAGCAGGGTAAAAGCAGATAGCCAACTAGAAGAATGGGCTGGAAGAATCTAGAAAAACTAAGTGTGGGCAGAGGCATGAAGGCTTCCTGCAAGGGAGGGGCTGGAGTAGGGTCAGATTTGAAACCGGCAGAGAGCCATAGTCATGCCACAGGAAAAGGTGGGGAACAGGACATTAAAGGAGAAGAGGCCCATGGGAGAGTCCAGAGAGAAGCGAGACTGTGGTGGTGAGAACTTGGATGATGATAAAGGAGATGAAATGGAAAATGTCTACACAGCAAAGGGGATCAAAAAAGCATGGGGCTTTTAGAAGCTACTATTACTACACTGAGTAGGGGAGTCATGGGTGACATATTTGTTTATCGACCACCTACAATGAGCCAGGCACTGGGGATAAATAGTGCCCTTGTTTAAATGGAATTTATACCTTAGTGTGGGCACCAGGGGAGGGAGGCAGATAATTAAGAAGAAAGCCAATTTTGTAAAAGTTAATTTTCTGGCAGAGTAAACATTAAGAACAGAGTAAAGTGGGACACTGCATAGAGAGTATATTGTAAGTGGGGTTATTTTAAATAGAGTAAGGGGGTCTATCTCAAAAGCTTTGCTGAGAATGTCACCTCTGGGCTGAGACTGGAATGATGAGCAGGGAAAGCTGTGGAAAGATCCATGAAGCCCTCCAAGGAGAGAGAGCAGCAGATGCAAAATCCCCGAGGCGGGAAGAGCTTGGCATGTAGGAAGAACAGCAGGACAGTGTGGCTGGGACCCAGTGAGCAAGGGGCCCTGGCAGGCTGTCCATGGAGTCAGACACACAAGGCCTCTGAGCCATGAGAACGGGAGGCTTGGGGGATCATACAAGACATAGAGAAAAAGCCTGTTCAGAGTTCTCTCTGTATCTTCTCAGAGACCAGAAAACTTCTTGACACCGCACAGCAGCAAGGTTCTGCCCATCCTGGACCCCAAGATCCTAGATGAGAAACTGGGTACCATCCGTGAATCCTGGTTCGACGCCAACATGAACTCCCCGATGGACTCCAGCCAGTCCACCTCTCAAGAATTTGAGGAAGAGCCTCAGGTGCCAGAGATGTCCCGTGACACGGTAAGTGTCCCTCCCTTGGACAGGGCAGGATGGCACAGCAGTGAAGGCCATGGGAAGGGGGCTTAAGTGCCACCTCTGGGACTGGTTCATCCCTCAGGCAGCAAGTAGCTCTCACTGTTAGGGACACTCTGTATGTGAACTTCCCCGCAAGACAAGCAGATGGAAGACATGGATTCTTCTTAGACAGTTTCTTCATCTTCTGAAAGGAACTTTCATGTAGCTTCTTTTGAAACAAACCCCAGCAACACTTGTAAACCAGGGTTCCATTTATTCAAGTCACTATCAGCTGAAGGGCAAAGCCCCTCAGAGATTAGTTGTAACTTACAAAAAAGGAAGTTGGTGCTCAAAGACAAGAGCACACCATTTTTAGGCACAACATCTGTCCTTGATCGTGGGATTTGGCATGGGGAGGGGTCACAGCACAATCTCAGCCCCTTGGTGCAGAGAGCTAAAGAACAGGCCACCCAATGACAGTTCCATCAAAGTCCCCAGTGGAGGTAGTGCCCCAGTGACCATGGGTGACTTCATTTGTGGCTTCCTCCCTTCTTCCATAGCGGATCCCATGGGGAACGCTGCTCCGGAAGATCCAGAGGAGAGGCCCCAGAAAAGGCCAATGGCCCAATAGGAAACCCAGGTCCTCCTCCTCTCAGGATCTGCCCACCTCCATTGACAGCCTCCTCATCTACCCCTGGCACTTCTGCACCTTTCTGGAACTTGTGACATCAGACGAATAGGAAGGGTCACTGCCTGCTTGGTGTGCCCTTCCCACCAGGAGCAGGACTGCTCTCAGGAGCAGTTCCCTCCTTTGTCCCTTGGGGAAAACATTCTCAGGAGCCATTTCCAGCATGGCCATAAATTGCATTGAGAATAAAGATTCAGATCTTCTCCTTGGAGATTTGGAGCAGCATGAATAAACCAATTCCTGCTGTCATCCAAAGTCTTACCCTGGTACCCCCATATACACCCTCTTTTGCCTCTAGGCAGCAGTATTGGGGGGAGTAGCAAATACCAGGGAAGAAAGAAAAAGGGAAAGGAAGGTGTCACCCAAGGAGCAAGGCTAATAGGAAGGAAGGGGAAAGGTGATCACATTTGTCCCTGGCCACCACCCATGCAGAGAGCTCAGGGCAACTCTCCTGCCCTCACCCCACTCTCAGGGATGTGCCACCTGCCAAGCCTCAGCCCTCAGCCTGTTATATCTTCACCTCCACCCTGGAGGCAGGGCTCAGCCCCTGCATGTTGCTGGGAGCACAAGCATCAAGTGCCACCTGGCTGGACAAACCTCTCATGTCCTATGCCTGGGCACCACACCCTGTGTCACTAAGGAGGGAGCAGTCCCCAGCCCCTTTCCTCAAACTTTATAATGGGAGAACTCTCTGGCTTAGAGTCCAATGGGCAAAGAGTGCACTGTGTGAGTTGAACAGCAGGCCTGGGGGCCTGGGGTAGGGAGAGGAGTTAGACACAGGTGAGGCTGTGGATTTGTTTGGGGGAAGTGAGGCATTGGAAGGGCTGGAAGGGCTGGGTTGGCATCTCACTGTGCTTATGAAATGCGATGAGAATGATGTGAAAGCAAAGGCAGCAGAGGAGGAAGGGGCCTTTAAATACAGGACGGGTCTGCTAGCTGGGCAATTGACACAATTATTTTTAAATATCTGAAATGATGTTATGATAACATGGGTAGTGGGCCCATTAGCCTTGATTTTCTTCAGGATTAGGGTCTAGACCTGCAGCCTGAGAAGTCAAGATTAGCCATTAGGAGGAACTGTCTTTGAGCCAGAGAAACCACTGAGTGACAGAAGGGAGGAGGGAAGGATGTGCACAAAGGGCACCAAGACAGGATTCTGGGAAGCTCAGGTGACAATGAGGGACTTGGGCTGCCCATGCTCGCAGACTGTTAGAGATGCTGTGAGTTTGGCCTAATGGTGGATAACTCAAGCATGTCTACCAGAGACAGCACCTCTAGCACTCCCACCCACGGACCATGTACCTAGAGAGAAGGCCTCCCAATCCCTCCCCTCCCTCTTGCTGGATTCCTGGTGAGGCTGATGGATGGCTGTTGGGCTGTCCACCATCTGGCCTTGAACTAAGTTAGTGCATACTGAAGCCTTGTTCCTGGGCTCTAGGGTTCTGCTGAGGCCTGGCCCGACACAGATGTTAGCAAATGCTTATTGGGACCCCTGGCTGGACATCAGAGCACTAGAAGGAACCTTAGAGAGTTGCTAGCCCATCCCTTCATTTTACCAAAGGTGGAAACTAGGTGGTCCAGGGGTGGAACGACACCTGCCCAAGGTTTCCTGACCTCACCCCTCCCCCATGCCACCTTGCATCTATCCAGGGAAACACTGGATGGCCACAGGGGTCCACAGGCTCAGCCAACCTGGCACTGTTGGGTCCCTCAGACACTCCCAGAGTATTCACGGCAGTGGCCTCATCCCTCCCTTGCCCATACCCACCGTTCCAGGCCCCTCCTGTGTCTTGGTTCTGTCCTTGACCTTCTCACCTTCCTCTTCTTCTTCCTCTTTCCCTTCCTCCTCCTCCTCCTCCTCTCCTGCCCCTCACCCAGCCCCACCTTAGTTACCATACTGGCTCTTCCCCTCCCTAGTCTAAGCCCTAGCTGGGTCCTAGACACCCAGCCTGACTCCAGCTCCTACACACAGGCCAGAGCCCAAAAGAATCAAGGCAGGTCCTCGACACACACATTCATGCAGCTGGTAGAGCCTGGTCACAAGCCATAGAATGTGGGTGGGTAGCAACAGTGTACAGCTCCATGACAATCACAGGTGGCCCTGCAGAATGGGTCACTGTTCCATAGCAACCAAATAAAATTGCATAGCAATGGATGAACTCATGTGACCAAGAGGCACAGTGACAAGCAATAGAATGTGGCCATGGATCACAGGAACATAGCTTGCCTAGCAATAGACCCCAGTCACAGAATGATGTCATATGGCACTGCATTGTGGGAAGATGCAGTTGTGATCCAGCCATGAGCGTAGAACCTGTGTGTAAGCCATAGACGTGGTAATAAGGCAACAGAAGATCTTGAAGAGCCCTGGGACACACTCAGGTAGCAATGGCCCAGTTACAAGGCAGGCGACTCCTTGGGTCCGGAAATGACCACCAGCAATAGAGCCTGTGAGTGAAGCAGTGGCTCCGTGACACAGCAGCAATAATGTAGTGACCAAACAATGACCCGAGTAACCCCCTTGGCTCTCGGCTTAGCTGTCACCCTCCCCGCATCACCTGGCGGAATTCCCAGCGCCTTTGTCTAGGTTTCACGTGCGGTCCCCAGAGCCCAGGAAACAATTTTGTCTGCGATTCCCTCCAGAGCCTACTTTGGCTTAATAGGAAATTGAACATGTTTCTGGAGAAAGGAGCACATTGGGAATGGAGGAGGGAGTGAGGGATGCTGTTGTGCCCCTTGGGTCATTCCCTGTGCCCTCTGGGCTGCCAGTCCCATACCCACAGCCCACTGGGCTAACTGGGGCTCCCCACCCAATGCAGCCATTTTTTGCAATCTCCAGACTCCTGGGTTTAACACAGAAAGTTCAAGTGCCGATTTACCAATGTGGTGCCAAGCTGATCCTGGGTGAGTGAGCCCACTGAGGTCAAGGATAGGGCCCCGGAGCAGAGAGCGCTAAGGGAATGCCCTCACCTCCTGTGAGTGGGACAACTGTGGGACACCCATGAGCATGACTAAGTAAGTGAATGTCAAGGGCAAGGTGTTCACGGTTAACCACGCAGCAACTCACTACACTGTCTTGGGAGCCCCTCCCCACCCTACCACAGAAACCCCAGCCCACCCTGTGCTGAGCCAGATCAGGTCTCCCAATGCCAGGGCAACAGCAGGTGAGCTGGGGGCATCTGTCCAGTCTCCAGTCGGCGGGTTCCACTCAGAAAGGCTTAGGAAATACCTACCGAGGGTCTGGGCTCCCGGTTCCTCCAGTCAATCAGAAAACCAGAACTTCCCACCTGCCAGTGCCCAGCCTGTGACCAGCAGGGAAGGGAGGGCATGGAGGAGGGGCAGGCTGAGCCCCTGAGCACTGGAAGTTCCCCAGGAACTTCTGAGACATCTCCCCAGAACATTAGCCTCAGCCACACCGAGGAGAGGCTCAGGAAGTTATTTGATGGGCAGGCCAGGGCCTGACTGGGACAGTGTACCTTCTTAACAGCCACACATACCTAGCACTGCTGGGCCCACTAGTATGCCCTCAGTAAAGAAGAGGCAGAGAGACAGAGGAAAGCAGGGAGAACTTCCTGGAGGAGGAGGGCATTGCTTTGGATCAGCAGAGGCAGAGGCTCAGTGGCTATTCAAGAAGTATGCACATAGTGTCGTTTCCAGTCCAGAAACTCAAGCATGGGTTGCTCTCCTGACTCCCCCGCCCCCTCTCTCTTCCTCTCTCACCCTCTGCCCACCCCCCCCAACACACACACTACTCCACCTGCTGTTTCGGTGTCTCTCTCCTTTCTCTGGTTGTCCCCATTTCTCTCTGAAATCCCCTCTCCTCGCTCTTTCCCTCCCTCCCACAGCCGTGCTCAGAGGAGATTTGTGGCAGACCAGAGGGCCCTCATACCAGGAGATGAATAATTGACAAGGGTTGTTTAAAGATTCAGTGGAGTTTTTCCAACCTCCCTACACTTGAATAACTCATTTCTTTCATTCTCTCTTTGAAAGCCCCCTCCCCCACCTCCCTCTTCCCATCCCCCCTCCCCCTCCCTCTATCCCTGTCCCCCTCTGAGCAAAGGCGTTTGTATCCTTTCTGGAGTCTGTGGACCCTACAAGGATCCCTCCCTGGCTCCCCTGGACTCTTCAAGTGCACTTCCCCTGCTGCCCCCACCCCATTTAACCTGCCCCTGAAGGTAGTAGGTGGCTTCCAGCTCTCAGAGGACCCCATTTCATGGACATAGAGAAGACTGGAGAGCTATGGCTTCTCCCACATCCCCCCAGCAGCAGAGGCAGGGCTTGGGCCCCAGGAGGGCAGGCCTGCCACCCAGGGCCCCTTCCCTCTCAGGCAGGCAGAGAGCTACTGCTCTATCCCAGGGTGCTTGGAGTGCTAAGTGTCCCTGCACCTTGATTTTTCCATCTGTGATACAGGAGAACCGCTTGCCCTGCCCTGTCTGCCCCTCAGGATCCATCAGGACAGATGAGGGGCCTTCAAAGGGAAGTGGCCATATAGTAGACACCCCTAGTCCTCCGTATCTTCTTGGCATGGCCTTAGGGCGACCAACTATCTGTGTTTGCCCTTGGCAAACCTGGCAGGGGATCACCCACTGTGGCATGGAAAGCCCCCTGTGGCATTCAGGGCTGCCACCCATAGCACCCACAGCCACAGGGCACAAGCCTCTGCGGGACCCACACAGCTCCATGCTGTGCCCTGTACTCACAGGTTGCCATTTTCCTTGGAGTGACCTTGAACTCTCTTCCCCTCTTGGCGGGTGCAGTTCCTGCCTCAGTCTGCAGAGGAGGTTGGAGCAGATGTGCCCAAGTCCCCTGAGGCTCTTGCGCTGTGACTGAGCCTTGGTCCTGCCCCCAGGCCCCCACCCTGGGTGAGGTCTGCAGACTCTGGAGGCTGACAGAGACCAGCCAGCCTCAGCAACCTGAGCACCACCTGGTGGCCGGTGACACATCCTGAGCAGGGGCCTTCAGCAGCAGTGGGCAGTACTCACTAGAGAGAGGACCAGCACTCCCCCGGCCAGTGTCCACATCAGCGGAAATGAGTAGCAGGAGCATCAGCCTGAGTGAGGACCTGAGAGCCCAGGCGGCCTGGGGCTGGCCACATGCCCGAGTGAGCAGGCCTCAGTGGGGCCAGAGCTCAGGCACTGAGCCCAGCCTGGAGGCAGGTCCCCCAGGGCTGGGAGCATGAGCCCACCAGGGACCCAGATTCTCCAGAACCACCAGAGGCAGAAAGTACGAAAGACAGAGAGAGACGGAGCAGAGCCATCTGGTGCCCTCCTCAGCAGCCTCCTGACAGATGGCCCTGACTCAGCATCCCCTTCAGGCCACCAACACAGCCACAGCCAGTCCCCAAACACCCCTCACCCACCCCTCCTGTCCCCACACCATCCTCGCCTCCCCTGCCCAAGCTTCATGGCCCCCGTTTGCCTGGCCCGTCTGCCCTCAGCTGCCTGTACAAGCACCCGGTTCTGGTCACCCCAAGGCCCACCTATGGCACTGTATGCTCACAAAGACCAGCCCCATCCTCCACACTCCTGCCCCGCCAGGCCCAGCGCCTGCAGGCGGAAGGTGACCTCAGGGCTCCAGCGCCCCCTCCTCCCCTGCACTCCTGCTGCCCCTGAGCCAGGAGCCTGCAGGCTGGTGCTGGGGGATGGGGATTCTAAAAATATATCCGAGTGAGCCTGCACAGTCCCAAGCCAGCTGAGAGCCCTCACCAGCGCTCTTCCCCTTCCTGTCCCTCCCCCAGCTCTGTCCTTTTCCTCCTCCACTTCTGCACACACAGAGTGCTTACCCAGCATTTAAGGAACGGAGAGAGGGAGGGGAGAAAGCTGGAAAGGAAGAGATGAGGTTCCCATTCCACACATGTTCCCTACACAGCCCCCCTAGAGACACCTTCTCTCATCCTTACAGCTCTATCAGCTTTGAGTCCCATTCCCAAAGTTCTGTGTGACCTCGGAGAAATCACTCTACCTCTCTGATCCTGCTCCTCCTCCTTAAGTGCAGGGAATACTATCTTCCTGCCTACCTCTTGAGGCCATAGGAAGAGTTAACAAGAGAGTGGATGGCAATGCTTTGGAAACTGTAAAGGGCAAGAGGCTTATTCATAGCTGCTGGTTTCCTGGGGCCCCTGGAGGCCAAGAATAAACAGAGAAAAACACAAACCCCCCAGGCCTGTCCCTCTGACCCTTTCTCCAAAAGGGCTCTTCCCAGACCCCTGACCCACTCCTCCTCCTCCCCCTCCCCCTCCCCCTCCCCCTGCGTCTCAGGCGGGCCATTCTCCTCCTCCATCCATCACCTGGGACTAAAGAGATTAATAAACGAGACTCATAACTCAGCTGGCGGGATGCAGCAAATATTTACGGCTCCGTTTCAATTTGCAGAGAGATTAAGTGTTTGTCGATTTATTGTCTCTCCATGTATCCGAGCGAGCGGCTAGCAAG